GGCTGTCCAATCAATATTTATCACCATGAAGAACAGTTACCCAAAGCTAAAAGAGCCTGACTCGACCGAGGCCACAGGGACACTGATTTTAAAGAYACACACACTCGCTGAATTGACGCTGCAGATTTCGGTGCCTTTGCATTTGTTTGAAATATTGTAGCTGGTGTCAATGAAACATGTGAAAAATATCAAAATTAACAAAAATAAACTAATGGAAACATAACTGGTGGTACTTTATTTTGAATCAGTTGCTGTTTTAATTTTCCTTCATAATCTGCTGCTTTATTGGTCTCAAATTCTCTAATTAAGCTTAATCACTGTTGAAACGCTTCTAATTTATTTGCATGTATAAACCAACACATTCACAACAAAGCAAATGCAACATAAAAGTGAGCTGATTGTCTTTTTTTTCTGGCAAATTTTGTAGTAATGAGGGTGAGTTGAGATCTGCCTTGTACGTATTTTAAAGTTTTTATTTGACATCTTTCCAGGAAATAAAGTCATTCACAGCTTTCACAATTTAATTTGCATCGTCTATACATTCTTTGATTTTCTTTAATACATCTATCTCAATTAGAATGGTTTACCACACCTTAAATTGTCTTGTTATCGAGTTTTGATGTGGTTCCATAACGTTAAACCATTTTCTGATGTATTGTCACTGAAAACCAAGACAACAAAAAATGGTAAAGAGAGAAGTCTCCAAGAACTTGAAAAGCTTTGAGTTGCAKATTATACAATCTATTCAGAAGGCAAACAGGCAAAGACCAGGATCTGACTAATGCCTGAGAAACTGAACACATTTTGTGTAGTTCAAGATGATCATTGAAGGAGCATCTGAGACGATTCTTGATGAATGGCAGATGTGTCTGCGCAAACAAGGGAGATGAGAAGAAACTTTGGCAATGGGGAAAGAATCAAAGATTTTTGGAAACAGAAAAGACTAAGAAAATCTAATAAACAACAAAATCTCGAGTTATACATAAACAGATTAATATATGAACTGGAAATGTGCAGAAAAAGCACAGATCTGCAGGAACTCAAAAGCTAACTGGAAATGTTAATCAAACCATTGCAAAGTGCATAAAACTTCATAACCATGACTTTCGGAAGTAATCTGCTCAGTAGTCAAATCACGTTCTCWTTCAAAGAACTGCTTCTTGACAAATGACCGTTAAAAAAGGATGTGACCTGTTTCACTGGCTGAAGTTCTAAGTGAGATTCATGACGACAGGAAACAAGTTCTGCAACTCTCAAAGAGCCTAAATTCTGAATGACTTAAAAAGACACTAATGTTCACTTTTTAACCATCTTCACTGGACCATCTGCGTTGTTTGGGTAATTTTTTGAGGGAGGGAAGTGCGTTGCAACTTCAGAGCACGTGCTCGCTGGTCCCTTGGGGATATCACATGTCAAAACTYCAAACGCTTGAGTCACTCCAGCAGCATCCCCTGTCTTCTTCTCCCGCTGCACTCGGAGCACTCGGTAGACCACATCTCTACAGTCGGSTGGGGAGGCAAGCCTTAGAGTCGTGGCCTCGGGACAAAGGCTTCTGCAGGCCCAGATGGCTGGTTCTGAGTGCACCATTTAAACCTAAAACTACTCAAACAGAAAGAGAATTTTATGCAAAAAACTTCTTGTTTTGGTAACATTTTGTTGCAATATTTCAGCACTTTTAACACAGTGTCAAGGTTTCAGTAATATTTTTGTTACAGCAACGTTTCATCAATTAATGGTGTATGTTTTTTATTATTTCTGCCCCCACTGAAGACAAAGGCAGAGTCATAATGTGTTTGCATTTGTGTGTTTGTTTGTCTGTACCATTAGCAAAATATCTCACAAATCACTGAATGGAATTTATGGCAACATACAGAAAGTAATCGAAGGTGTCATGGTCTGTGTCTGTGTGGGAGTTTTATTTTGATGCTAGTGTGGTTTTCTGTCATGTCCTTCTGTTTACCTCCTCCTGTCTGTCTTTGATCCAGCCCCGCCCACTCTCACCTGTTCCTCATGTTTCTCTCCCAGGTGTTTCTTGTTTCTGCTCATTAGTTCTCCCTTATATTCTGTTCTCTGTCTTCAGTCTGTGTCTGGACTTTGTTAACTGTTGGTGTCGATGCGAAGCCCAAGAGTCCTTGTGTTATGTTTGCTGATATGTCAGGCTTTGTTTTTACATTTAAAGCCCAAGAGTCCTTGTGTTATGTTTGCTGATATGTCAGGCTTTGTTTTTACATTTTTGCCACCACAACCACTCAGTCCTGCATCGGGTTCAAACCAACCAAGCAACTCATAACAGTAGGGTGTAAATCTAGGAGTCAACTCATATCAAAAGGGCTGCAAAATTGACCTTTTTGGGCTTTATGTCGTCATTCATTCATCAAAAACGTACCCAGAGTGTTGCTTTGACTTCATGTATGTTTGAGAAACCCTTGAATCTCCAGAGACATTTGCTGGTACAAAGCAGGAGTATCCAAATCAGTGGTAGTTTCTTAAAGTGAGAGGTCAATTTCAAGTCCAAGCCTCTGGATGTGGAGGAGCAGCGACTCTTATGGATAAMTGAAGTTCTCCTCCTTTTGTTAAGAGAGTCCAGCTACCCAGCAGAGAAAATACATTTTGACCACTTGTATCCATGACTTTGCTCTTTCGGTCACTACCCAAAGGTCATGGCCATAGGTGAGGCTAGGAATTTAGACTGATTGATAAACAGAGAGCTCCTCACAGCTCAACGCTCTTTTCATCACAACACTCTGGTAACAGAGTCTGAAATACTACAGAAGCTRCACCAATMTGTCTGTCAATCTCATGCATTCTTTCCTTACTCATGATGACAAAGTCAAATTTATTTCTGATATATACAGTGTAATTACTTGATTGTGGTATAGAATTGAACAATGTGCCTGGAAAATACATATCCCCCCTTAAGGGTGCCATTACCTATTGCAGTGGTTCCCAACCTGGGAGGCACTAATGAGCACAGGGGGGCTAAAACCTTGTCTGCAGWGGTTTTGAAAATATCAATTTATTTTTTGTATATAAAACTCACCAAAACAAGGCCATTTGAATAAAAAACTGTATAACTTGGTTCTTCTTTTGTTTTCTTTTTCAAAATAAAAGTTTGTAACTATCCACTTAATTTTTTTTCTTATTTTGATAAATACATTAAGGTTTATTGAGTCTTTTGGATAGTAGCAAGGGATAAGGGAGGATCAATTTGGCTTGGGAGTTAAAAAGGGAGGATTTGAGCAAATTAGGTTGGGAACCATTGGACTGTTAAACAATATCTTCTTCTTTCCTCAACATCAAATGATTTTATTTTAAAACTCCGGCATGAAAGGCAGTGGGTGATATTCATTGTTGGGGGATTGTTAGGCCTTTAGCTGGTCATGAGGAATTATGGTTGCTGAGCATTATTCTCTTGTCTTTGAAACACAAATGATATACTATGTATATATACACTCACCGGCCACTTTATTAGGTACACCACGCTAGTAACGGTTT